TATAAATATAATTAATTCAATTAATTTATACATATTATATGTATTATTGTACTTTTAAATTTATTTATTTTTAATTTTACTATTATCAATACTATGTATATTATTTTAATTAAATAAATAATTAAAAAAATTAATTTTTTTAATGAAAGAACAAATTTTAATACCAATTAATATATAAACAATATCCATTAATTTCGGCTAGTAGAAAAACTCAATTCCATTCTACAAATTTGCTATTGGTACATTAAAAAAAAAAAAGAAAAAAAGAGAGAGAATTCAAGAAGATTAACAAGAAAACAAATGATTTTTTTTACACCATTTCCTTCCGTGGCGGCAATAATGGTGGGAGACCGAACCCTAATTAATGCAGAGTGCGTGCAGTAGATATGAGAGGTTCTGTTTCTGGCTTCACGAGTTCATCATTAACGCACAGTATCTCTTCAAGATCACCCTTCGTCGTTATTTCTTTTGGGTTTGATGATTCTTCTGCTGTCGATGCTATCGGTAATGGCGGTTTTGTCGTCTGAGTCAACTCTCTGGCTCTCTCTGCCTGAAGGATCCAATCCGTTTTACAGAGGACATACAGCATGAGCAGAGCACAGGACGCTTGAGACGCAAGCAGGCTGAGCCATAGTCCGGGGAACCCCATTTTGGCGACAAACCCCAATAGGATCGCCACGGGCATACCGACTAGGTAGAACGAACCCAGGTTGATGTGGGCTCCGATGGAGGGCCTGGCGCTGCCCCTGAGGACGCCACACCCTGTTGTCTGCGGGCAGTTTCCGAGTTCACACAGTCCGGCGATCGGCAATGCTACAGTGGTAAGGTCTAGAATTTCGGCGTCGGAAGTGAAAAACCTTCCCCATTTGTGCCGCATCAGAGTGGTGAACAGCATAGCTATGAGGCCTAATGCGACGGCGCAGAACAGAGAGACGATCATGGAAATGCGAGCTTTTGCCGGTCTATTTGCACCCAATTCATTCCCAACCCTCGTCGATACTCCTAGGCTTAGTGCTGATGGAAAGACGTACACCAAAGAGGTCGTTTGAATTAGGATCCCCATGGAAGCAATGGTAGCTTTTGGGTTAATTAGAAGTCCACAGAGCATAATCATGAATTCATACCACCACCACTCAAGACAAACCGAAACACACGTTGGAATCGCCAGGGTGAGCAGAGATGACCATCCCCTGAGACAATCCGTACTCAGAGATACCCAAGAATCTTTATATACTCCGGAGAAGTACACAAAAGAACAGAGCAAGAGGAAGAGGTTGAGATTAGTCCAGACCATGGCTATGGCAACTCCAGCAATACCCATTTTGAAATGCATAACGAGGAGGAAATTCAGGGGAACATGGAGGAGAACAGAAATAGCAGAACAATAAGTTAAGGGTAATGTGATTCTCTGAGTTCTGAGATAAATGCGAAGCGGGTGAAGCAGAGAAAGAAAGAAGAGGTCAGGTATGGAGAAAAGAATGAAGGTATGAGCCACTGATGCTATTTCAGTATCTTGGCCGCACCAGAGGAGGATTCCCTTTATGTTCAGCCACATGAACGAGATGGGAAGCGAGGCTGAGAGGAGGAGGAGCACCGTTCTCTGAAGGGTCAACCCTAGAAGTTTCATCTGTTTGGCACCGTAAGCTTGTCCACAAATGGGTTCCATTCCCATAGCGAGACCAGATATTACAGAGTATCCAGTAATGTTTGCAAAAGCAATGGAGAGAGAGCCGCCAGCTAGCTCTAGCTCACCGAGACATCCAAGAAAGAGCATAGAGATCATGGCTCTTGAATAAAGAAGCAAACCCGTCATAGCTGTAGGACCTGAGATCTTCCCTATGGCTTTGATTTCATCAATTGCCTGAAAAGAAAACAAAGATAATGAGCTTTACCCCATAAGGAGTATATAAATGTATTAATTTTTTAAGCCATGTTAGTTGTTAATGTATTCTTTTTGTTCTTGTTTTAATTACCTCAGAGAGAGTTGGCCATCTACGTAATTGTTCTTCTTGATCATCAGCATGAAGATCGAAAATTTTGTTGGGATTTATGATAGGAGTTTTGTTAGAGGGGAGGAATGAGGAAGGAGAAGATGGTTTTGGGTTAACCATAATTCTCTCTTTTTCTTTTTGATAAAATATGACTTAGAAAAAGGGAAGACAGGGAAATGAAATGAGATATGAAACCCTGGTAGGAGGTATGTTGAACAGTTGAAGTTTGTTGGTTTCGTATGGTTTTTGGGTGGGGATATGGAGAATTGAGTTAAGAGGATGTGGGTATTTATACATGGAGGGAGTGGGGTCTACGTCAAGAAACGTGTCGATGCATCAACGAGAAGGCCGGAAAAAGGTGCTTCTGATAAATGCTTTTTAGGTTTAGGGGAGGTTGGGGGGGGGGGGCCGCCCATCCTTTCTATCTTTCATCTCTGTGTAAAATAAGAATATGAGGGTTAGTCACTTCAATTTTTGTATATTCTTTGCGTTTCAGCACTGAAAATTAAACCCCAAGCTTTAACGAAAATATGGTACCCCTAGCAGGCTAAAAGAAATATAATGGTATCCAAGAGTCGCACTTTTTTCTTTTTTTAGGGTAAATATAGCTAGAGTTGGACTAGTTGGTTGTAGAGTTTCGTTCATCATTCTGATGGAAGAAGCTTAGTTTAACACGTGTAATATTAGTTGCAAAGTGTCGCCAAACGACAAACATAGCTTGTAGAGTGTGGGGCAGGGGGCGGGGGAGGGGGCGGGGAAGGGAGCAGCCTTGTTTTTGTCCATCTTAATTGTGCATAAGTTATGGTGGGGGAGGTTCAAAACCCACAATGAGTATTGATTCGAATTAGGAATTGTTTTTAACCGCCATAACAGCTTTGTCCATGAAACAATTTGGCAGAATGCTAATGGAAGGACCTTTTTGCTATCTAGTGTTTAGATTAAGAGGAAGTGGATAATGTTTAAAACTATCCACTTTAGGTTTATTTTAGGCTTTATATAATGGAAGAGATAAAAATAAAGATTAATCTTGAATTTAACAAGACAGCCAACCTTCACATCCTATTCGTGAATGACAAGAGAGAGAAAGGGAAGAATCAGAGTATATTTGTAAATTAGGACAGGAAAATAAGAGGGATTTTATGGTAAACAGCCATATACGCATGTTCCAATTTTGCAAACCCATGTGAAAAAGCCCACTCTCCAAGCATGAATATATCTAGTAGCTCTTTTCTTTATATATATCCATTAGAAACAAACCAAACATGCTTGACTGCTTTGACCAAATTGAGAGGGCACAAACCTTGGGTAAAATCTATTTACAGGACCCATGTGTTGTGTTGCCTGTTTGTTATACCCTTTTTGGGCAATTCGGAAGAGTATGAAAGTGAGGTGGATGAGTCCGGGTGTGGGATATATAATAATCAATAAAGGAGAACTTGAGGTGAAGATTTTCTTTATGTAAAGAAGTGGATTATGTTTGGCTTAGATTTCTGCCGTCCTCAAGAGATTATGCAATGATCTTTGGCAAATAAAATGTCATCCTAATCAACAATATGGTAGTAAAAAATAATAAGTTCACTAGTAGTCTTCTTTCTTTAAAAGCTAGAAGAAGTTTGTAATTTTTTGAGTTGTTAATTTTAAAAGATTTAATACTTCAAAGTTAAAGTTAAAAATTAAAATTCGAGTCATAATACCTCAACGAGGGAAAAAATGAATGAGAGAATTAATTACCTCTCCTTGTTTAATCCACCAATCCAAAAGGTACTGAGATTGCAGGGTCAGAACCTTTCAAGGCTAAATATTTCACATGGCTGGGCAAAGAGACATGTACTTTCTATTCTCATTCGGGGGAACATATCATTCTATGGTTTGTGGATAAATTGAGTTTAAGCCACAAAAGCTAAACATGTGGGCAAGTGTCATATCTAATGGATATTTTCTATACTATCTTTCTTACGATGTTTAGAAAGGATATCTTCGTGGGTGTGTGGAAGAGAGGTAAATATTGTGCAAAGAAATGAGACCACTGAAGGTGCGTTAAATGGGGATGACAAAAGATGGCTGTATGGAGAACCGGCAGATGGAAGAAGGGGGACATGGAGACAATTATGTGCTCCAATTTCAGCCATAATTTGTATCCCTTTCCTCACCAACAGAGTCGTCTGTCTCTCCGTAAGCCTACCATCATCCCCCTTCCAACACAGGTAGAATAGTTCTACATTTTTTTTTCCATTTCTATCACTCCGCCCACCCCCTTCATGTATTGATTTTTCCTTTACTTCCTAGAGGTATGTATTGTGGTTTGAAAAATGCACACTTTGCTCCAAGTGTTTTTGAGATTTCACTTTCAATATTATAAGCTTGAGGGGTTATGTACACATTTTTAAACTAGAAGGGGCCAAGAGCACATTTGCATGATATGAGATTTAAGTGCTCATTTTCAAACTACCTGTGGTTAAATGCACATTGTTGTAATTTGAGGGGTTAAGTGCATCCACCCCAAATTACATGAGAGGTAAGTGCAATTTCCCCAAAGATATATAACTTCCATGACATTCACACCCCATATCATGTCAGATTTCCAGTGTCTTCAGCTAATAAATTAGTTTCTGTAAATAAAAGCTATGTCATTGACTCATTGCAGCACCAACCAATGCACAAACATCATGCTCCTCCAAGATAAAATTGTATTCGATGATGTGATGATCATGATCATGATGCATGATGATGAAATGATAAAACCCAATTCAAAATTTGGGCAGGCTAAAGGCCACTGGTTATGGTGGGCATTACCTTTCATAGATTGCATGTTCAAGGCCAATGAGATCTGCTTTCCCCACTTCCATTGCACCTAAATATGTATGTACCACTTGCCCTCTTTCAAACAGAAATATATATATATATATATATATATATATATATTCAGCCTAATAGGTAAGTGGGGCTCACCAGGAGTAGATCGCACCAGGGCTGTAGCAATAGAAATTGGCAAGTTCTAGAATCACACTCTTCCTCGATACTCCCCTGTAGCCGTCAATCACAAAGACACATTTCTACACCAAGTTGCTGTAAGAGTGAAATCTAGAGAGAATGTTAATGAAATCAATGGCTATTCACAGTAGGGAAATAAATCAAATGCTTGTTTCAATTCTTTTGAGGGGGGGAAGGAATGCAAAAGTGATGAGACCTTCGTGGATTTGCCATTAACAAAACGCTTATTATACTTCTCCAGAAACGGCAAGGAACAAATTTACAGATTCCATACATCTCTTCAACCCCTCTACTTTTTCTGGTAAAAAGGGTGATGCTTTGAGTACAGAGAAAATTGCAGCACTAATGCCCTATGGTTTCTCTGTCTTACATGCCCTTATACCAGATACGCATATCCACAACATCCTTGCGATTTCATTGCTGCAAGAAGACATTTATCATGGCATTTCTTAAGAACTTATATCGGCAGAAACTCAGCCTTCTAGGATATATTCCCGAAAGCTAATAATGTCACCATGTTTCTGAACACAGGATTTATTTTTATCTAACAGTGATAAGAAGTATAAAATTGTACTCTTTTACGGTCAGGTACTCTTAACGCTTCTGGGGCGTTTGTAGAAAGCTGAGCATGGAAGCACCGAAAGCAAAACAGCCTTTCATAGATACTGATAGGTGCAGCAAACAGAAGAATTTATTCCAGGGTTCAGGTGCAAGCAACAAGAGGAGGAGATTTTTTATATAGAAAAGAACAATCATAAAGAAGGGCTTCAAAAAAAATCAATCAAGCTTTACAAAATATCAGACTATGAGAGCATAAAGAGACATATCTCCATCAAAATTTTAATCAGCACAACTCATATGCCTACTGTTGGTCACCAGGAACAAGTGATCACAGTCCCACAACCAGTTCAAGCACTAAATGCACGAGATCCCAATGCATCATGATTGGACCAAAACTGGGAAAAGGAAATTGCCTTTCAAAAGAAGGGCAAAAATGATGAGGTTTATGTGAGGAATAGATCCCAATCAGCAGCTATTAAACTTGGTGGTAAGCAGTTTTGGGACTTTCTCAAATCCATACTTGAGGACTTCACCAACATACAAAAAATTTAGTAGTCATCTTGTATAACATACAAAAAATTAAGTATAACATACAAAAAATTGCTGTGAGGAATAATCATCATGTATAACATACAAAAAATTAATAGCCATCTTGTATAACATACAAAAAATTAATAGCCATCTTGTATAACATACAAAAAATTAAGTATAACAAACAAAAAATTGCCACGAGGAATAGTCATCTTGTAGAACATACAAAAAATTAAGTATAGCACTACATTAAGCATAACATACAAAAAATTTAATAGTCATCTTGTATTACATACAAAAAATTAAGTACAACAGAATACCTCATACGACAGCCCTGGGCTTCTGAACACTGGCACTGCTTCGAGGAATAGCCAAAATTGCCATCAGTCCACTAGTGAACGCCGCAACTGCTGCGACAGCAAAAGCTGGTGAGTTTCCCCCACCAAATAGCTGATCCCATGGTCCACTTCCCAAGGACACCACAACCTATATTTGAAAACAAATTTGATGTCTTCAATTGCTAGAAGCAAGTTATAGAATAACATTCTATGAAAGCCCTTCAAAAAGAATTCTATTGCATTAAAGATCGTGACATAAATGGGAGCCTTTCAAATATTTGCTTAATTTCACCCCTAACCTTATAATTATAACTAGCAGAGAATAATTTATTAGTAGTAAATATGGGGCACTGCATGATTTTTAGCACCCCACAACCCTGATGGAATGTGTTCCCAAGTAAAATGCAAAATTTTTTTAAAAATTATTACTTTCACATCAACTGAAGCTTGCCCTGCACTTGTTGGCTTTTTCCCAGTTTTAGAAGGGAGAGGACCAAGATCCCACCACTCCCCATTTGGCTTCCTTCCTATGTGTACTCAATAAAAAACTTACACAAGTTTTTTTTTTCTTTTTCTCCTTCAATAACATGGGTATCTAGACCTTTGCCCTGACTAACTCCACAAGTATCTACAAACTAACATGTCCACAGGCACCTGGTAAAGCTCTACCTTCCAAAGTGGCAGACAAACTTTCACAATTTAACAGATTATTTTGTTCAACTATTGGAAAGAAACACCAAAGAATTAATATTTAAAGCCACCAACAAAGATAGGCACTTGATTTTCTATGCATAACTGATAAATATATCAGGAAAATAAGCAAACACAAACCCAGTTTCGTGTGGCACAATTGAGAGAGATTAATAAAATAGATCTTTGGAAGAAGATTTCAAGAGCAAAGCACTACCTGTGGAATGACAATTGCCAGATTTAGAACACCCATTGATAAGCCTGCAAAAACAAAATTAAGGAAAGCACCGTCCTGGTCACATCTTCAAAAGAAAAACAAAAAATGTAAATATAAGCAAAAAATAGATGTCCACCTTGGCCAAGTCCCAAAGACTCAATACGTGTGGAAATCAACGCATATGGAACACTGTAGGTGATCTGCAATGAAATATCTCAGAGAGTTAATGAAATTCACTAAGTTCTTCATGAAAATCAGGAAAAATAATTTTAATTTAAACTTAAAAGATTAGGAGATGGCCGACCACTCTCCTCTAGGACAGTCAGGCCCCACTTTCACCCCAACACTAACAATTTAGTTTCAGTCTATATGCCCTTCTCAGGGGAAAAAAAAAAAAAATCAACAGTAAACACTTATTTTACCAAAAGATTTGTGATTTCTTTCTAGTGCAAAAATGACCCAGTTGAAAGTACATAGATGGCGGATTTCTAAATGTCTATGCAGCCTCACAAGATATTACTCAAAAAGAAACCATGGAAAAAGTTTTGTTCCCCTTTATTTCCTTCTTTTCTTGCCATGACTTGTGACTTGACAAATTCTGTAGAAAAGAGGACACACGTTTTAGTACAAGGAACTGACCAACTTACCGCCAATGGAATACCAAGGACAGCAAAAATTATTAATGCAGCAATTACAACACCATTTGGTGGTGTACCCTGGCCAACATAGTCCAAATGACTTGACACATAGAAGAGAATGAGCATGGAGAGAAAGCAAATAGCCATGAGGATGTTTGAAACTCCCCAGATAAAACCAGCCCCCCATTTCCTGCAAAGTTTTTCCATAAGAACTGAAGTAATTCCTAGGACAACTGAATTCAACATCAAACCCAATGAACCCATCCTGACTCCTGTAGCATAAATCTGCCCTTCATTTGGCTTGCCACCATAGATCTCTCTACCCATCCAATCAGTATCAAAGAGAAGAAATGGGAACCATCCAATCCAATTCAGAGCAGTAACAGACAAAATTATCCATATCGACCCTGAGAAATATCTAAAAGTTCCAAATAATTCCCAGAGAAAAGCTTCCTGAGCATGTCCTGACTGTCCTGGCCCCTCTTCATTAGAAGGTGCACCTCTGTTGGTAGGTGAACCTAGAGGGACTTCCTTAGCAGCTGCAATGCTTATATATGTAGTAATTACAATGAAAATTATGTCAAGAAAGAAAGCAGACTTGAGATTTGCACAATCAGCATTGCATGCAGATGTCCTGGTAAATGGTAATATTTTAAACCAACCGCTAAATGATCCAGTTGCAAAGCCAAGAACATTCCCAACGGCCATAAACAGTGAGAAATACGCATTCGCCACCCGAGTCCTCCGATGGTCCTTTCCTAACATGAAAGAAATAGCAAGAAGATGACGTCAATTTAATGCCAGCTTCTTCAGTTCTTTATGTTCCTACTACACAGCAGGTACGCATAAGAATTGACTGCCATCCCACAAACAACAAAACAAACCGTTATAATTTTTTTATGTTAACCATATGGTTTACCATTCATTTGATGTCCCAATTTTTTTACCCTACCAAATATATACATGTACACAGAAAATGACTCCAAAATCATTATCACTACAATTACAAGAAGAACAGCAAAAAGCACTTGAAATATGAATCCTTTTCGTTTCTTCACAGTGTAGGCATTCTCCATTTTATTAGAAAATCGTATCTTGTACTCATAGGAGCAAATAATGGTAACCTTCAACGAAATTCTCAACATTCAAAACATAGTGTCATTTATGGATAGTGGTGAAAAAACATATCCTCTCAGACAGGTTTTGCCTTGTCCCTCAAACCATCACATTCCAAGATTTCTGACATTAACAAAGCTCATATCCTATCCATTTATCTCTGTAAGTTTTACCCATAAACCAAGGTAAGATCCAAAGAAGGGGGAAGGCTTTGTTATTGATACAACTTTTTTCTCTTGAATTCAGATAAATGGTGGAAAATGGATATTCATAACCCAAAAGTGCAGAGGAGAGAAGACCTTGTGCTTTGCTAAAATCAACCCATTAACATCCTCCATAAAACTGAAAAATTCTCAATGTCTATTTTTCCAAAGTGTATACTAATGTATATAATAGCTCAGATTTTAATCCGTCAAAATGTATGTGATATTTCTTTTATAAAATGCCCGTATGTACCAAAAACAAAATGCTATTACCGTCACAACTTGCAACAATGAAAACGACATTAATCTAACTGTAGTTACAATATTGAAAGGACAATAAAAAATAATAATAGTATGTTTGGATTAAGAGAAGAGGTGGGTTTTTTATTAATTAAATTATAATATTTTTAAGAATTATAATCTAATTTGTCGAAAAAAATTCATCTCTGTCCCTCCTCCCCGCTTCCCTCAAACCAAACTTACAATAGTCCACTGTTTACACTTTTTCGAAATAATTATAATGGTAATAACACTCGAAGGGGCATGATCGTCAATTGAGAATTTATTTATATCAGTCATTAAATATAAAATACGGATATTTATGGGAAAAAAATATATAAAATATGGATTAACTCATTGCTTTACCAACTATATAGATTCCACAAAAAGCAAAGCATAAAAAGAAATCAAAATGATTGAACAAAAACAGTTTCTATTAAGAAATTCATTTGATTCCGATGAACTGAAAATTGCTAAAATTGAACAGAAAAAGGAAGAAAACACTAACCAGTAAGATCGGCAAGAAGAGCTCTACAAGGACCCTGAGTCATGTTATTAGCAACATCGAGGATCCAAAATCCGAAAACAAACGCCGCGATAGCTCTCGGCCGGAAATTTCCTCTATCGCCGAGCAACCATCCGATGTCCGCAGAGTGGCCGATGATCAAAACGGATAAAGAAATCGAAACGGCACCGGCAACTATAAAAGGCCTGCGGCGACCGAACCGGCTGGTGCACCGATCGCTCATGTGACCAACCAGAGGCTGAACCACTAAGCCGGAGAGTGGACCGCAAAGCCAGATGATGCTCGCCCACGCGTGTGGTATCCCGAGCTCCTGAACGTACGGTGTCAATAGAGAAAGCTGAAGCGCCCATCCGAACTGTATGCCGCACGCGACAGAAGCAACCCGGAGCAGCTTCCGGAGCTGGACTCTGCCACGAACTGGCGGCCGCACCGGCGGTCGATTCGACGACGATGGTCGATTCCGGGACCGGTGGCGGTCTGGTTCAGAAGTCGCCATCTGTTAGCTTTCGCGGTGACTATCTGTCCAACCGATTAATGTTTATCGAAATTGGTGAGTTTGGTTTGCAGAGGAGGGGAACATGGCGGATTCGTTGAGGGTGTGAAGGCAGAAATTAATGAGACGGAGTTGACCTCCTTATTTATGGAAATTACTAAAAGAACCTAAAGGTGACGCCAATAGAAAAGTAGAAGACGAAGGGCAATTGTCGAACATAAATACTTTTTTTTTTTCATTTTTTTGAAGGGTATTTGGAGGGCAAGTCCAACTGTCAAGCTACGCGGCCATAAAGAAGTTCTGCTTCGGAAATTTAGGATTTTAACGAAATGACGAAATCACCCCCCTAAAAAATCAAGATCATATGATTGTATTGGGGAAAGGAGTGTGGTGGGCTGTGGTTATCGCAGCCATCATTTTATTGGAAACATCCAATTTTATTTAATTTAATGGTTGAAATAATTAAAAATTAAAATTATTAATAAGTTTTTTTAATTTGTATAAAAACTTTAAAAAATAAAAAGTAATATTTAATTTATTAATTATTTAATTAAATTTATCTATATAACATTGATATTAAATTTAATGTTTATTTTTGTATTTTTTATACAATTTTATTACAAAAAAATGCTTTTAATCTATGTCCTGTGCCCAAAAAAATCCTTATTAATATTTGTTTCTTTTGTCATAAAATTTATTGTTTTTTATTTTTATGAATTAAAATTTTAAAAATATTTTTTTATTTATTTTTAATAGATTTAATTTAATTTTTTAATTTTTTATATATAAATTTTATGTAAAAAATTAATATATTATATAAATAATAATTAAAATATTTTATCAAGTTAAAGTACTTAACAATTATTTTATATAAAAAAAACTTTCAATTATTGTTTATATAAGTTATTAAATTTTCATTTAAAATTTATATTTGAAAGGTCAAAAAATAAAATTAAGTTCATTAAAAATAAATTGATGGTGTATTTCTTTATATTTCCCTTAAAACAAATACAAGATAAAGAGATACTCTTTGTGATGGAAAAATAATTAAAATAAATGGATAATAATAAAATTAAACCAGAAAAAAAATATTTGTTTACCTAAAAAATAATAATAAATTTAAAATAAACTTAAAGTAAAAAATAATTATTATTTTGAGATAGAGTAAGTACATTTAATAT